GAGATATAGTCGTGCACATTGTGATTACAGCTTTTCTGGTTTGGAACAAATTATAATACCGGCATTGGAGTCTGTAAGGCTGGACACAATTAGAAAGTATTTTAGAAAGTGTAGAGAGTATATGGAAGCATACAGAAGAGGAAACAGTGGAGGAAAAGATGTAGAGGTTGCTGTTAAAAAATATAAGTCACATCGCCGTGTATTTGGACTTGTAACTTAATTATTATTATGTACTTTCAAAATTACTTATGTGAAAATGTTAATTACTAATCTAGCATACTATTAATATTCTACTCTTCCTTATTAATCAATGCATTGAATTTATTTTACTTTCGACACATTGTGTTAAAAAACTAAATAAAAATTAATAACTTCATATGACAGTACAAATTTTAAAAATGATTCTGTGAAATATTACCTTGTATAAATACCTAATATTTCAACTTTTAAAAATGACAATATTAATCTTCCTTTATTAAATAATTTAAATAATAACAATTTTTCTCATTTTCAAAAAAAATCACGACCAAAACTTATTAAAAAAATCTCAGAAAAAGTCCAGATAAAGAATAGGCCATATTGTAGTATTTCACAAAATTTCTTTCCTGTGGGTGTGGCACTTCCGGAAATATTACATTTAATATAAATATGCCTGAAAATGGATATTTATGAATGCAGGCACTATATCTCAGTGGATAATTTTTTTTAGACAACAGGAGTTGGAACACATCATTATTATGGTCAGACAATCATATAAAGACCATAAAATAAATACCCTAAAAAATCACTGCACTTACACTTTAAAGCATCGATTCTTTCAAGGCAAGAAGATCTATTAACATGGTGGAAAGACAATAAACACATTTATCCCAACGTAGCAAAGGTAGCACGTCAATATCTATGTACTTTAGCCACATCTGTACCTTCAGAACGTCTTTTTAGCAAAGCAGGAGAAGTAGTGTCACAGAAAAAAACAGTATCAAGCCAAAGAACGTAGATATGATGCTTTTTTTGAACAGTTGTCCTTAACTGAGTCGTTAAGTCGTTAAACCTTCTGATTTGAGTGATTTGACTGATTTCTTTGATTTTTAATATATTTAATTGTATTTATAACAATTTTTGGGCGGAGTTTAGTCAATTAACTGTTAATAAGTGTGGTTTAGTAACTTATCAATAATTTTTATCAATATCTAGAATTTTGCTCAATTATCGACAATTATCATATCGTTTCAAAATTTTCATTATTGCCCAGCACTAATCTGAATACTGAAAATAAAGTACAGTATCTAAGTTTGGTATTTTGAATGGGTCATCTTCTTCATCATTTGTAGCATAACACATCATATTCAGTCTCAAGGGCTTCATAATCTTTAAATTTTTGAATTGTGCTATTTTGCCATCAGCAAGGGAAGAATTAATAATATCTATTGCTAAATGAGCATTTCTAGCAACATAAAAGTTTTTCAAAAGGTGTCTTAACAAAGAATAATAAACAGATGCATTGCATAAAATACGCAGCATGCTTTTACATTCCGTATCACAACTACTACACACAATAGGATGGCCTATCCTTTCACAAACAATTTCTGAATATTATAATATTTTTCAATGCCATTTTCATTTTTTTTAACAATTACTGTTACATTTGGATTATCACAGAAATTATGTTCATGCACTTGATCTATTTCTTTAACATGCAGGAATCTTGTCATAATGCTTTTAGGACAATTATCACATGCATCTAAATTCTTCCTCAATTCTTTAATGGATTCATCAAAATAACGTCTAACTTCAATAATAGAACTAACTTCACTTTTTAATAAAGCCTCGCACCTATCTGTACAGTGCCATTTCAGGGTAAGCTTTCTATTATTAGTATACATTCTATTATTATCAAAATTGTCATCTTCAGAATCACTATCATCATTACATTCTTCTACTCTATCAATACATGATACATCAACAACCCCTGCTGCATAACAGGTGCCATTTGTATCAACAGCACTTGCAATTGGACTATCTAATTGGCTATCAGAGTTATCATTAAAGTACAAATATGCTGATTCATAAAAATAAGGTTCATTACTCTGTGTGACATTGCTCATCAACATCACTAAAACTATTTAACTTCTATTTCCTAATGCTATTTGCTGTACATATCAATACACCTACATTGTGGGATCTCTTTAAACTAATTCTAACAATATACTTGATGCAGCATTACATTTTCTGCATATGTGTTCTCAAAATTTACACCTTTCATACTTGATGGCATTAAATCATCAACTATTATGGGGCTGTAATATAATGCTTCTTTAATTTTTATAAAATAATATTCCTTTGCTTCACTATTTTGTGCAGGTAATGAGTATTTTGAGCATAATCTATACAATATGTGACTATAATTATGTTCGTAATAATCTTTATTTAGGCACCTTTGTTTTCCTTGATTAGTGCCACCTTTCACTTATCCATTTCATTATCAGATAATTGAAATTTTAAAAATCTATCTTTTGTACACTTATTATTGCGTCTCTATTCTTGTAATATTGCTTCAAAGAGATTTGTTTTAATGGGCCTGAATTTTGTTGATATCGTCCCTTTGATTTGTTATCTTGGGGGTGTGGATTCCTTCAATAATGTTATCTAGAGGCTCCTTTTTTTAGGTCCAGATTGATACTATGATTTTTTCTAGAATAGCAAGTTGATTTAGAAATTTTGCTATCCTTGATTCTGCTGTACCAATTTTTACAATTTTGCAGAATATTATAACCAGGATTCAATGAATGTAATTTCTTTGAATACTCAAGCTCATATTGAAACCTTAGATATAAAACCTTCCATTTCTGTTTTATTATCATAAATTTTAGAAAATGCTTTTCATAGTAATAAAGACTAATCTTAATAATATCTAATATCAGGAATATAACAGGACACACTAAACTCTAGTGGTCTGGCGTAGGTACCGGTATCCAAACTTGTCAAAACTGAGCAGCTGTAACATTTTTTTGCTCTGATTTCTCTGTAAGATCATATTTTGCTCTGTAATAAAAGAAACTTAAGTGATACAGTTATTTCATAATATTTTACCTAATAGCTCTTAAAAGAACTGGTAATCACTTGGTCTGCACATGGCTGAACAAGTATGCAGTGACAGAGAAAAATTAAGCAGGAAAATTAATATTCACCCAGTGTAGTCACTGTGGCCACTTTGAGCATGTGCAATAAGTTGTAACATGGCGACTAATCACGCACAAATAACTAGTTTAATATTATACAAGGTGAATTCAGATATGGAAAGTACCTTTGTTGTCCTTGACTCACATGCACCCCAAGGAATGACGTAAAAGTCACCTTGAGCTGTTCTCTAGTTCGAAAGATTATCCGGTGCACAGAAGAGGATAAAAGAAAAAGAGTTTGAAGAATTTTGCAGAAATTTAAATTTTGGCCTTTTCTCCACAATTCCTCCCGTTACATTACAATCCACTTTAAAGGTACCAGAAGATTCGCTCCGTGAAGGAGAGCTCGTCTAAGCCATTTATAAGGTAAGATTGAAGAGCTATAAGCATTAGAAAATTATAAATTGGGTCGCCATCTTACCTCAACCCTATTTATAGGCTACTGCCTATATAATTGAACAAAGTCATGTAATATTGTTCTTCAGGCCATAGTCATGTTCTCCAACAAAAGAACAACATGCAGACATAGATACTACATGCAATAATACATAAATTAATGAGTGCTCGAATGTAGCAACAATCTCCAACCCAAGTTTAAATCCAGCTCCACCCGAGTTCTAATCAAGCTTGATTATTATTGATAGGCTTTGACCAGAAAAAATCTATTAATGTTGAGTGACGAATGTTTGGTGCAAACTATGCGGCTAACTTCAATGGAGTGGCTACTGGACTTACCTTTAATAGCAACAAGAGTTGTGTAGTTAGTTGTTATTGGCCAAAAACAGCTGCAGTGACATTTGATTACAGTCTAGACAGTCAATCTATTGATCATGTAAGGACCTGCGAAGATCTTCGTTTCTGGCACACCTGTCTTTTCTACTTTGGTGAAAACTTTCTTAAGAAACACAATATGTTGATGATGACCAATTAAGTCTTCTCTGCTGCCATACCCTTACTCATCACAGGCGGCGAAACAAAGGGGGCAGCGAAAGCCCCCAGTTTTGAAACAGGAGGGGCTAATTTCCACCAGGGAACTCTCTGCAACTTAGTAACAAAAAAATGAAGCTGACTTTTATGAGTAAAACTGGACCTATTGTCATTATTTCTTTACTTCACGTAGAAAAAAAGACAAGAAAACTATTCTAAATCCAACAATAGAAGGCTAGCAGCCAATATTTTGTAAAATTAGCTGCCACTTAGTAAAAAAGCACACTGATTTTAAAAACTTAACTGATATTCAGACCCCCAAAAAATTTTTGTCTACCGCCTATGCTTATGTAACAACAACTGTCTAAGTCACTTAGGTTGCTCCAATAATGTAATTTGTGCCGGTGTGAAGACCCTGTCTCATCAAAGTTGTATTTTCTTTAAAAAGGCTCCAGAGGATGGCTACTAAGAACATCATGTTTGATTATCAGCATAATTACAAATTTAGACTTGTTGCCCTTGAACGGTCAGGCACCAATGTACGGGCTGGAATATATTAAGGTTATCATCTTTGTGTAACTAGAACATAGTCTCAGTTTGATGTACTCAAATATTTCTTTTTTATGTTCTGCACTCAAGGCTGATCACATAAAAAGTTGCTCCATTCCTCACTAAATCAGTCCTCAGATGGCCATACGTTGTTCCATTGCTTCCCTCATCTGTAAAACTCATTGCCTCCAGTCAGCATTTCATTATAAGTGGCTCACTTCAAAATTGCTATTAAACTTTTTTGGAACAAATTATTTAATATTGATTTGAACCCTAATAATGCACACACTTTAAACACTGTGTCCTTGTAATGATGTGTTCATGCAACACTCCCTTTTAACTCTTTGTCCTAATTTTATGTCTCCATGCAATTTTCTTCCTAATTGTTCTTCGATACTTTCTAAACATTGTACATATTTATTTGGGTGTCAGGATTAGTTTCTGGACTTTATGACCATTATATTAGTTTCTTCCTGCTCTCCATTTCTTTACACTTTGTAGTTCTTTTGTTTAGTCTAGCAAAATGATTACAATAATGATAGTTCATAGCCTTGTTTTCATCACAAACATATTCACACACAAGCACTGGTTCTCTTCACTCCTTTTTTCCCCACTAATGTAGCATTTTCTTTCTTCTCCACTACTATAATGCTTGTACAATGCTGCAGGACATTGATGCTAACACATGTTATTGTACAAGACATTTTATAATGTTTAATAGGCAGGCAGGTAAGTGAAATATAGACCATGACAAACATTTTAACCCCCAGTTGCGCTTTGAAGACAAGACAACCTAACCCAATGTTCACTACAGTTATTATGCTATCACAGTAATTGTAAAAGCTTTGAAGTATTATGTGTTGTGAGTCACATACAAAGAGATTGAGGACAGGTGTGGTGTAAGGAACGTAACAAGAACAGATATCTAGGCAAATAGACTGACTAGGAGCAAACTGACTGTGGCCTAAATTCTGATGTCTAACTATTTACAAGAGTTGGTCATAGTCTCTTCTTTCAAAGCTAAATGTCATAATTTTAAATCATCCTCTCCCTGCCTGTGCAAGCAAAAAGCAGGGCAATTAGTTTTTAATAACAATGAAACATACATAAATACCAAGTGTTATTATTATTTTTAACTAATTTCAATTAAATATTTAACAAAAAGTAATGCTTGGCATGTGTATATCAAGTTGCTTTCCTACTCAAAAGATAGTAAGTCTATGTAGATTTTAGGTAAAATCTGACCTATACATGTAGTCTAATGTAAAAATTGTAACAACTTTCATCTTACTTTTTATACTCATTATCATTTGTTTTAGCCAGAGTGTTACAACATGCATGTTTATTGTGCTGAACTATCATGCTTACACAAACACTGAATATACAGACAACAAATGATTTACAAAGAAGATATACGTCATAATTCTGTCACTCCTCTGAGTGTAACACAGGAAGAGTTGAAACTGAGCAAAGTGGTGCACTGCCTCACCTTTAATCTACCACTATGCTATCATTGCTGACTCACAAATACGTATGGAACAAAAACTGTAAAACTGGCAACATTTATGCACAGTGCTGTAAAGTATTGTACTGTATTAAATTTTTGTGGTTGATATTTTTGAGGTTTGCTCCTAGTTTGGCAAAGTTGTGGTTTAATTTTTGTGGTTGACAGTTTACATAGCCTGTTAGGGGATTGCATGGCATCATTTCGATGGTTGTGGGAGGTCCATAGTCACAAAACCAAAAAATCTACATTTCGCAAAAATTTCAAGCTACATGGTAAACAAAGACAGAATGTTAGCTGGTTAAGCTTTTTGGCATTGGGGATCCTGTTGTCTGGGCTGCATTAGGTAGAATACATGAATCAGATGTGACAGCTTTATAGGTCACCATCTTCATCCCTCTCGCAATTGGAAGTTTGCTGATACTGACTCACTAGACCAATAAGGAAGTCTCAATTTCTTCTTTTCTGTTACTGGCTGTAGACCTGGATATTGTTAAGCTAGACTCAGCATAGTTTTAGACCACCTTTGATCACACTTGGCCTGTGTGGGACTTCCTTTCCTTGGGTGCCTTTGTCTTGCCGGCAAGCAGTGCCAGGATTCTGTTACACATATTCTAAAACACAGCATTGAGGTCTTTCAAGCTTATTCCATCTAGTACTGAGTGCAGCTTTCTTCATATAGACCTACCATATTTCTTCGAATCAGGGCTTTACTCAAATTAATCCCTATCACTATTATATTACCACTATAGATACACATATTTTAACCAGTATTAATGTTAGAGTGGTCCAAATAGCCTAATTGTTCATCCAGACTTTAGAACATCGAATTGCATGATTGATCCTGGGTTTTGTAATGTTTTCTTGATTCTTGTCACTTCTTTCGTGATTTTTGCCTCTGTTAATCAATATACGCCTATATAGGCCATTATTAGAGGAAATATGGTAACGATATTCAATTGTTTAAAGAATTAAGATAAATGGGCTATCAACTACTCGTACGGTACTGTTGGAGCTGATTGAAAAGAGATTTATGAGTTATTATGCCATTTTCATGCTATTGCAAAAATTTTAAGATTCCTACTAAGAAAGGATTTTGAAAAATCTACTTCTGTGTGCATCTATTCTAGCTTTTTTTGATGATTGTATCATATGAGGGGTTTAGGAGACTATTGCCATCGAACAGGATACAAATGGATTTTCACTGCAGAATTAAGATAAAGTTTAATGCCATTTTAAGACAGGAAGTGCTAGATAAAAAAATAAGCACCATTCACATAATGAAATAATTGCAACTATTAATAGTGCTCATAGTTATGCAGCACTTCCTGTTTTAATGTATGTGACCATAAATGACAAAAGGTACCTTATTGCATGTAGTAATTTCATCTTTATAGCGAAAAAAATCTATGTTTTTGAGCTCCATTAATCATAAAGTTATGCCGCAGGATGCAAAGTTACTATGTAATTTTTAAAAACAATAGTTGTCCAACATAGCACTCTCAGGTTGATACTTTTTAATTGTGGTCACATTTGGCCTTACCTTACGTTAAGGGCAACTGCCTCATTTTTTGAAGAAT